AAAAAAAAGAGAGAGAGAGAATTGTTGCTAAAGAGCTTGTTCGGCCCAAAACCAGAAGATGTTGGAGCATTTGGGTTGCTCACAGCACAATTACATTCAGTTATCTAAGTCAATCACATAAAAATAAAGAAATTACACAAAAATTTATTGTTGTTCATCAGGATGGATACAAACATTCAAATATTTTTTACCCAGATATCCACCCTCCATGTCTCCAACAAAAATCCCCTAACTTCTAAGTATCTAAACTCTGCTGCAAACGCCCTTAAGCTGTCGCCTCAAATGCCACCAGAAACTCTCTGAATTGCTGCTATGAAATCAATCCCATGGCTGGACAAATTAATTCCATCGGTTGACCTAAATGAAATTAAGCACCTCCTTTTATAAAAGAACTGAAGCCTCACCCACAAATTTGCCCGACATTTGTTCCTAGCGTTGAGATTCTTCCTACAGCATCTCAACATTATCTCGTCGGCCTAAATGGCTCCTGCAGCCACTTCAACATTTCATTCCTCAATTCCTCCGATTTTCTTTCGCGTTGGTTTGGCTCCACCAGTCCAACTTCAACATCTTTAGCCTACATATTTTACATATACACACTACACAGTGAGCTTTTTGTGAGTTTTACAGAGTGTGTTCCTTCGAGATTGAGAGTTTTCCGTAGAGCTGTGTGAGTGATTTTTTTGTGTCAAAAATTTCTAATCTCTGTTAAAGAGTTGTAAAAAGTTCATAGGGTGATCTGTGAGTACTTTTCTTTGAAATAAAATTGAGAAAAATTAACTGTAGAGCGTTCGTAAGTTCTTGAAGATTTTCCATAGCGTTTAGTAAAACCTGAAATGATACTTAGCAGAGAACTTGACGAAACCGACTACAATGAGTGAATCATCACTATAAATTGGGTGCTAATTTATCTTCTCTATGTGGGGAACAAATTAAAGAGCAATTATATTTGGGGTATTTAATGGGCATACAACTAATCTTAATTATGGCCCATGACTTCCCATTTAGTGGTGTGGCTTGCTGAGTAGAAACCAGCTCATTAATCCTAGGGTTTCAGAAACCCTAGGATTAACCTATAAATATATGGTTATGGTCCCCATACACTATGCTTGAGCCTTCTGTACCCCATCAGAAAATATTGTCTATATTTGGCCTGGGTTGCATAGTTGAGGAAGACCACAAACCACAACCTCTTGCAGATCATGGTCAATCTATCTAATGGTTTCAGGTAATTATAATCCCTTTATAAATTTTGGTTTTCTTCCATGCTTAGATCTTTGGTTTTGATTGTTCTGGAATTTTATGGTTTTTATTTTAGAATAATCGTGAACTAGGGTTTATTTAATTTTTCCAACATATATTTCTATCGATTTTTTTGCTTTGGATTTATCTCCTTTTTATTGTTGAGATAATATTAGTTAACTTGTTTTTTCGTAAAAAGTATGTGACGTCAGGAGGGGTACGTGAATGAGCAGATACCACATCCAAACGAGAGGGATCATGAGATTATGGAATAACGATAGCTTGTGACTATATCCAATTCCTTTAGAAATATGTTGTTTATGTTACCTTTAAAAAGTATCCATATATACTAACATTTGGGACTATTATAATAAGCACTACGACCTGTTATTTATATTTATATATATATATATATATATATATATATATATTATTTATTGGTTCTCTATGACCTGATTTTTACTTTTTAGGATCAACGGCTTGCTAACACCTACAATATTATAATCAAACACATTCTCAAACAGGTCAACACGATTATTATATGGTCAAAATGAACATAGCTGAGCGGTAATTAGCATATACCTGTTGAGAGTTCGAATCCTCTCTCCAATATATTGTACTAAAAAGAACATGGTTATTATATGAGATATAAATTAATTATCATTATTACTTTCTTTTTAATCAAGGATATCTTTAATTATTTCTATATTAATTAACTTTATTTCTTAAAATATTTGAGCATGTGACAAACACTAATTATTATTATTATTTTGTTTTTGGGAAAAAACAAGCACCAGTTATTTACAATTTTACACAAATGTTACGCAAAAAAATGAACTTCATGGCATCTTCCATTAACTAAACATCCCTCGTGGAATAGGAAATAAAATTTGAAAATTAAATATTCCTCCATGTTGTTTTTTAAAACTATTCCAACGATAGTAAATTCTTAAGATAGGTGACCATTATGAAATTTGAACCCATTCCTTGATTGACTTAGATAACTTCATAGAACTATGGAGGGGAAAATTATTTAGAGCGTCTAATTTCCCAACACCATTAGTAATTTTCAAGCCACTTTAAGGTACATTCTGGTTTAATAATTTTAAAATCAATGAGAGGAATCCATGTATCATATAAATCTTGTTAGGTCCTTGATCTTCTCGATGTGACTTAATATGCCTCTTCAAGATACGACTCTTTTAAACTTATCAATCTCGAAGCCAAACGAACATAGCTTAATGATAATTGACACATATCTTCAACCAATAGGTCATGAGTTCAAATAATCATCTCCACATGTTGTACTAATAAAAAAAAAACTTATCTATCTTGACCCGAATCTCATTTTTAGAACGAATGCATGTTTGAGCTTCATCTTAAAAATGATTAACCTATCAATACTGAACTCAAATGCTTAAAGCTTAAATTGATAGATATGTAAATTTAGTTAATATATAAATATCTTTAACAAATATAATAAAATTTCCAGCTTGAGAGACTAGAAATTTCTGGAGATATTAATTTTTTATAATAAAGTTTTAGATTTAGAATTTCTAGAAAAGATGAATTTTAGACAGATATGTCGAAGTTTATAGATTTGGTTTTCTATATTTGAAGAAGAAAAACAACGTTCGGAGTATTCTTGGGGGAGACCGATGAAGGTAGGGTGAGAGGATATGTGCTTGATGAGAGCATAGTATTTAATTTCACCTTTAACATCGATAATATCGATATTTTTATATAAAGGTAGATTAGAAGTCACATTTTCACAATATCTTAGAATAATAGATAAAAATATATCATATTTGGATACTTAGTTTTAAATATACTTTGAATGTCTTAAAAGTTAAAACTATTAGTCAAATCTAAAAAATTATAGAAATCGATTTAACAAACACAAATAATTAATAAAGTAGTTTTCAGTTTTGTACTTTTAATTTAATGAATTTTTATATGACGACATCATTAAAAATAATGCATAAATGAATTCGTAGAAACATTTTTTTAAGTTTTGTCCACTTCGAGAAAATCAAAATGAATTTGTATGTTCTGGACGCCTTGAGAAACATTTGGCTAATCATTTCAAGAAGTTTCAGCCAACCAATTATGAACCATCCAATCATCAACCACTAGGTACACCACGGGTTGTTGATACCCAAGTGTCGTGGGCAACGAGAGCTCCACTTTAGCAAGCTATTATGGGGACTCTTTGACGAGCTAACACATGAGGGAGCCGGAGAGAAAAGACATGCGAGAACTACGACGTTCAAGTTAAGTTTTAGGTACGAGTAAATTAACTTTTGCATATTTAATTAAGTAGAGTGAAGGTATATTTACGGAGATGGAATGGGTAGGTGGGTAAGTACTCATCCCATGATCTATTCTACTATGCTGCGGGTTGGTGACCGGCTTTACTGTTGGCCCGTACCAATGATCAAATTTTCCATATAACCGCTTAGCCTCAATTCTCAGATGGGATGTTAAGGCTTCTTTTCCAACCTAGCTATGAGCTTGGTCTGTACTATTCCCTTGGCGAGGGATCTTGGCCCACGTGACTAGCGTTCTTGCCCTCAACATCGTACGGGTCATTTCGTAACATTTCAGTTTTTCTTGTTTCTCAAGTAGGAAAAATAAAGTTATATTTAATAACTAAAAATATTTTGAGTAACAAAATTTTGTTTCTCGTTCTTTTAAATATTAAATTGTTATCATCTAATTATAGCAATAATCTAAATGTTGATGTCAATTTGTACCTAGTTGAATAGTTAAAGCTAAGTATCCATACACCATGAAAAATAAATGATACCTTCAACTATTGATCTTAGAAAAGATAAAAGGAGAAAAAGGAAAGGGGAAGAGAAGAAAATAGGTAAAAGAACAACCCATCAAAATGATTTAGACGATGAGAGGGATAGCTCGGAGGGGATGGGCCATGACCACAGTCAGACCAACCTTCTCATCCATGTTGATGGTTTCTGGCGTAATCCCATCTTCAAGTTTCCAATCAAATGAGTGAATCAACGAACCCAAAATCCAATGTACCATCCTTGTTGCCAATGGCAATCCCGGACAAATTCTTCGACCAGCACCAAATGGAATTAGTTCGAAATTTCTACCCTTAAAATCGATCTCGGATCCTAAGAACCTCTCCGGTTTGAACGAACTGGCATCTTCCCAAATGCTTTTGTCCCTTCCAATCTCCCATGCATTGACAATAACTTGAGCATCTTTTGGTATTAGGAAGCCTTCAATTTTGGTGTCTTCTCTTGCTTTTCGTGGAAGTAGTAGAGGAGCTGGCGGATGCAGCCGCAAAGTTTCTTTCACAATTGCTCGAAGAAAAGGTAGTCTTGAGAAGTCAGATTCCTTAAGTGGGTCTTTTCCGATCACTTCTCTGAGTTCAGTTTGAGCTTTTAATAGAATTTTTCGATTTCTTAATAGCTCTGCCATTGCCCACTGTACTGTGGATGTAGTTGTGTCAGTCCCAGCCGGAAATAGAACCTTTCACACAGCAAAACAAGTTAGGGAGAAGAAAAATGCCATCTAAAATAATGCGAAATAATTCACTAGGGCCCATTTTGCGGCCCCATTCACTAATTTCACCATGGTGAGGTCCTTATCTTACTTTTTTATGTGAACAATAATTGGCTACACACCCTTGTGTTTGGTATCTATACACACCACTATTAAAATTGTTTAATATATTAAATTTACCCTAATTCACCTTAGTTTTTTAGTTCATTGGTGGTTTAATCATGACATTTAATATAGTATTAGAGTAGAAAGTCCTTATCCAAACCCTCTATATTATCATTTCTTATCCGTTTAATATTGAGTTCCACTCACTAAATCTTGTACAAATTTTCAAGTCCACAGATAACAAGAAACCCGTCAACTAGCTTAAGCATAGTTATTCTGAAAAAACTGAAGCATAGTTGTCAAAATGCATTGTTCATCTAAAACTCAAGGAATAAGGTGGTCAAGATAGGGTGCTTTCTGATCATTTTTATGGTAAATTGTGAAAAAGGTAGGAAAAAAACAAAATTAACAATAAAAAACTTGTGCTTACCATCTTTAAATATTTAACAACTAAAAGAGAAAAATACAAGAATAAAATCCTTTTGTAAACTTAATGAATTGTCAACTTTTCAAGAAGTAAGATAAAGATTTGGTCATGGTAGGTAGATATTTTCCTTTCCATAAAACATAAATCCAAATTTGTATATAACAATTAACAACTATGGGAAACAAGAGAGATTTACCAATATCAAGTGCTTGATCAAATAGACGTCAAAGTTGGGATAAGTATTTTCTTTGGGAAGGTTGAGAAGGTTATGAAACATATCACGATGCCCTCCATCGAATCCGCCGGCAAATTCCTGGCGCCGGAACCGCTCCTCAATCATCTCAACGATCATATCCAAGAACTTCTTGATGTAAACCATCATCCGGCGCCGGCTGCCGCGGAGGTCCATCCACTTGAGCACCGGAAAATAATCTCCAACGTCGAACTTCCCAGACTCCTCCAAAATCCCCCACACCGTTTCCTTAAACTCCTTGGCCCACTCGGAATTGGGGTCCGCCAAATCCACGGAGAAGATGGTGTTGGAGAGCATGTTGAAAGCAGCTCCAAACACGGCTCTTTCAATATCCACCGACTCTCCGTTGTGGGCGCTGCGCCGGATGTCGGCCAGAAGGCGGCCGACGTTGTTGCGGCGAATGGGTTCGTGGGAGTCGAGGGCGTTGTGGGAGAACATGTGGTTGTTGCATACTTTTCGGAGGGTTCTCCAGAGGTCGGAAACTGGGAGCCATGGGAAGCCCAGCTTGTCGTGGTCGTAGACCGTTGATGAGTGCGGGACTGTTCGGTCGGATAGGGCTTGGTCGTGGGTTTGGAGGACTTGCTTGGCCATGGCGGCTGAGGAAATTACGATGGTCGTCATTTGGCCTAGCTTCAGCCTCATGATGGGGCCGTGGGATGCGGCCAGAATGGCCAGAGATTGGTGGGGTTTGTCACCCATCTCCAGTAAGTTTCCGATGAGTGGGTAACCTTTTGGCCCTGGAGGGCGCTTATTCTTCCATTGCCTCGATGATGATCTTTTGCTATTGAAGAGTAGAAGAAGGGAGAGGCTTAAGAAGAGAAAGAGCATGCAGCTTATCAACTCCATATCTCTCTCTCTTTCTTCTTTGATTTCTTTACTCACTATAATTCGCTTCTTATAAGAGTTATAACGCTCATGCGGGATACAATTCATGTGATTTCGTGTCAAAACTAATTGATAATAAGAAAAGTATTCCATATATATTTTAAGCTTTTGTTAGGTAGGTTAGGTATGTGATTTATTTTCAAGGTGGGATCCTTAACAACTGACAATCGATTAATTATAAGTTTTATTACTTTGAAAACATATTATAATATGTTTAAGATATCTAACAAAAGATTAAATTTAATACCGTAACTTATCTGCCTAAACTTTTTGGTTAGTCTTCAAGGGATAGTTTGGGTAGCTTGGGATTTTAAGAAATATTCCTGAGGTATTTGATTCAAGTTACATGGAACGCAACCCACAAAACAATAACCCTTACATATGTATGGGTATGGATACAATGCACATATCCCAAGTATAGGGTCAAAAAGGTCAAATGACCGCATACTCTTGGGTAATAAAAAAGAAGTTTAAACTTTTTGGTTGATTAGTTATTTAACATAATATCAAATAGTTTTTAAATTCTTGAACTTTTGTGTCAAATTAGGTCTTTGACATTATATTAGAATTTTCCTTTTTAAAATTCACATCCCAATAGATTAGAGCAAAATTGAATTTTGTGTTTTTATAGAAAATCCTAACCTTTTTTATTTTGTGTGGTTCATGAATTATATAATGTCTTATACATGACCCCTGAAAGAATGTTAGAAACATGTTCAAATTATAAAAATATCCAATGTTGCCTCCAAATCTGAAAAAGAGAATGGGTGGTTGCACTTGTACCCTCTACATCTGGTGCCCTCTCAGCACGTGCATGAAAAAAGGGGTACTTCTGTAATTTAACATTGTATTTAATAGGCGGAATTTAAAAGTGTAAAGATGTCAGATATTTTAATTTTAAAAAATCTATTAAACACAAGTTTATTAAGAATTCTAAAACTCATTAGACATAATCTTGAAGTTCATTTATGGATCACATTTGTAATTTTATTTTATTATCTTAATTTATTAAAAATTTATCTCAAAAGTATCGAAAGAAAACTTTTAATTTAACCTATATTATTTTAAATTAGAAAAAGAAAACTTGCCAGTAATGGCTAATATGGTTCTCGTTATTGGTTTTCTTCACCAATAATTTTCTTAAGTTCAATAATATGTTTGGAGTTTCGAACATTTAAGCTATTATTATTATTATTTGCTTCGCAAAAGGTAAAAAACAAATAATTTCATAAAGGAATGTTGGTAGCTCTAGCTTCGTAAGGAAGTGCTCCGCGATATTCGCGAGGGGTCTACTTTTTTTCACTAGAAAAATAACGAATAATTTTTCCGGATTGGCACACATTTGTAAGTCCCTTTATTTACTGCATAGATGCAATTTGCAACTTGACTTGTCAACTTTGTTGTTTTTTCTGATCGCGGCCAAGGCCATGGTTCTAAATATCCGTCGACATATCGATCCATAAATTCAATGAGAGGTAAATCGACATTTTCATCATAGTACAAGAAAATCGACAAAATATGAAAAATATCTACAAAAGGTTACTAATATATACATAATACTAATATTAATTATTTTTAAATAATTTTGAAATAGGAAAATGTTTATTTGTCAATTTAAATATTTTTTAATATTAATATACATAATCGATATTTCCATGAAATTGAAACATCGACACCGACTAAAACCTTAGTTAGGGGTCAACCAAAAAAAAAGGAGAATAAAAATAAAAAACTTTGAAAATTTGACCCGACTAACTAAATTCAATCAAATCGACATTGATTGTTGATATGATGAGTAGTTTAGTCATCGTCAATTTTAAAAAAATGTATCCGTGATTTATCTAATATAAAGAATATTATTGATATATTTGTTATGATTGATATATTTTTTATCTTAAGTATATCAATTGTCTAACTCATATATTTAAGTATTTCTCATTTGTAATGTTGATATCTATTTCCAGACGAGGTCACACGTCAACTACTATCTTAGGTGAGGTTTGACAATAGGCTCTATTGGCTTGCACCGATGTAGCGTGTGACCACGTACTCTCTAAAGCATAAGTTAGTGGTAAGTTTGAACTGATGTCAAGTCGATAAATTATGTATATTTTGAAATGTGGGACTCCGCCTTTTATATGAGGGGAGCATTGGGAGTCGAGACTCTGCTATCTCAACTGCTATATCTATATCACTTCAGAGACCTTTTATCCTTACCCTTGGGGAGTTTGAGTTGAGGCTCGGAGACGTGTTCAGGCAAGGGTAAGTGTTGTGGATTTTACTCCCATAACAACTATACACCTAATATCAAATATATTTGTGAATATACTTCATATTAGGTCTATCGATTTCTGAAACTAACAAGGAAAAAATAAGGTTAATAAAAAAACGAAAAAATTCGATTTAAAATATTTTACTATATTTGCAAAACCAAAAAGCTCCCGTAATATTTACACATATGACAAATATATTTGCTACAAATTGAAAACACCATTTTTATAGTATTGAGAGGCTTTTGCGGTAATAACAAATTTAACCTAGATAATTTTGAATGTGTCACCTGAAAAATATTTAACCTAAATAATAATAAATGTGTCACGTGAAAAATATTTTCTTTATATTACTCTCTTGGCTAAAAAATACTTTTCGTCATTGTACTTTTGTTGAAGTAACGATTCAGTCCCTAAACTTTAATTGGAATGATTTAGTTCGTCTATCTCCAAAATTGTAACAATTTAGTCTATGAATTTTAGTATGTAACCCTGTATTTCCTATAGTTTAAAGTTTTATAAAAATCGATATTTAATTTTGTTGAGATTTTTCACAATTAGGAACTAAATTGTTACAAATTCTAAAGTATAAGAATTAAATTGTTACCTACGTTGAAAACTAAATTGTTATCCATTTAAAATATGGGGTAATGGGAAGAACCCAATGTAGTTAAAATGGTGGTCTCTCTCCTAAGAGAAATGATTTCTTACCAATAATTCGGGAACTTGTCATTTTATTTGTCCTGTCTTTTCTCTTTTTCCTTTTTCCTTTTAAACGTTGCCGCTGGCGGGTCCCTTTTTATGGATTGAATTACTTTTCGTGCCAAAAAATTAATAGTTAACTTTAAGTACGGAGATGGGTTGCCATAGATGAATCAGCAGCAGTGGGAATGGAAATCGGACCGATGATCGGGTCGAGCGCATGATTGATTGTAATGACAGAGGAATAGATTTCAATTATAATTGATTTTTCAAAATTATCATCCAAGTGACATATTAAAAATCACTTTAATGAAATATTATTCATGGAGAGGGAAGTAATTTTGACAATGACAAAAGTTATTTTGATCATGTTAAAATTACTCTCAAACGATTGAAGTCGTAAAATTTTTAAGAGAGCAAGAGTGTTTACCGAGCAAGAAGATGACGAAGAAGAAGAAAAGGGGAATTTAGAAAAGTAAGAACCACGAGCAAAAAGGAAAGGGGAAGATTGAATTAACCTAAAAAGCAAAAAGAAAAGTAAAAGATTTCTTTTAGATTTTAAAACATTTAAGAAGAAAAACATAAATGTCCCCACAACATTGAAATTTAAAATGCAAATGAAATTCCCCTTTTTTTTTTTCGAAAATACGATTTTGTTTTCGGCGCCCCGTCGGAAATCTCATTATTTTCATATCTAAATTTAATTTACTCAACCTGATTCTCTTCCTCTCACTTAAATACGTCATTTAAAAATATAGCAAAAATAACTAGCCTAATTAATTTAAAAACAAAATTTTTGTTGATAGACCCCTTTCCTCTATTCAATAATTCTCTAAAATAGGGCATGACTTGTTGTGCATTGTTAAAAATATTGTTCTTTGAATCTTCTAACTCAATAATTCCAAAGGAGAGAGATTGTAACTTCGATCCCCTAATCCCACGTTATACTTAAAAAAAACTCCATTGGAAATAACTTTTGAAATTTTAAAACACTCAGACCACCTAGACTTGGTAACTTTCCTAGAAGCAACTAAAGTCGAGAATTAAACGATAAAAATAATTCTCCTTCCTTAAAACACTGCACTTAGGTCGAATACGTCCATCATGTCGTTGTTTAGGTCAGGTCTTACTCGTATGTTGAAGCCAAATCGAAATGGGTTTGGGTTAATAGCTGATATAAAAGTATGCGCTATAAATGTAGTTTTACCAAACAGAAAATAAAGCCACATAGAAATATAAATAGAGAAATCAGTGAAACCATGTATCATCCTAAATTAATTATCCTTTGTAAAATTTCCTTTAACAACCAAGCGTTGCTGCCAATACATATACATAGTGGATGTACTTTGTTCAAGAAAATATCAATGGCTATTGCACATTATTAAATCGATATATAAATTTAATGGTTAGAGAGGAGAATCAATATTAACACAAGCTATAATATGCAAAAACTAATCAACTATATAAGTTTCATAATTTTTCGTATCGTATAATATATATCTTATAATATCTATTTATTTTAATTTTCAATTTATGTAATTTAAAATATAAAACTATATTTTTCATAATTTTTTATAATATTAAAAATACAAATTAATAATATGTGTAATTTGCTTGGAAAAAACGACCCTCAAATCAGGTGAAAAATTTTAGAAAATGCTGAGACTTGTATTAGAAAGTGATAAGCCTGGTAAATTTTTCTCAATTTTAATTAGATGCCTTCAAATTTGTTCATTTTCATTAACTCCTCCCACTAAAAACTTGTATTTTATTTTATTTTTTAAAGCTCAACTATTGATTTATCACTGGTAAACTATTTCAAATTTGGGTTGGAGACCTTCCATATTGTGTTTCTTTTTTTTTTTCACAAGTAAAATTTTTTAAATTTTCTTAAAAAGGACTCTCGTATTCAGGTTAGAATAATTTTAACTTTTTTAACTATTTCTCTCCCTCTCTTTAACTTTTTAACGTCGAAGGTGTTTTAGAACATTCTTGTAGGATTTCCTTATAATGCCTTTCAAAGGAACTTATTAACAAATATTTAGCATTATAGTTTATTATTTAAAGTTGATGTCCTTCTTAGTAAATTACGTTTACAAAATTAATTTCATAAAACATTCATTATATTTTACAAATAAAGAAAAAACAGACAAAACAAATCCAACATCTACTAAATATTTGGAGTCCCATTCTCTTCTTTTTATATTTTAGAATTCAATCATACTTTCTGCTTCAAAAACTAATATCAAGCATAATGATTTATTTTAATAAATCCAACTTGTCCTTGTTGATAATAATTTGATCACCATTTACGACTCTACAACGAATCCCTTTAGAAGGAAGTTGCTTCCCCTAATACTCTTCCAAACAAAAGAATCTTGACGCCTTGTCGAAGCTTCTAAAAAGGAACACCGATCAATAGCAAGAAGGGAATTCGACTTTGACACTACCCGCCCCAAAACACTCTACTAATTCTAGAACAAGTCGCGCCAACCACAAACTCCAACTACCTGTAGAGTTTGAAGTCAATCTAACATGAACTGGTCTATCATTTGAGAATTTAATTGTGGCTAACCAATTTTGACTTAAAGCAAATCATAAAAAAAAAATAGACAGAATTTATTTTGAAAATTGGATAAAATACACCTGAAAAGAAAATATTTACACTTCAAATATTTTATCAGCAACTACAATAAAATGTGTCTCAGTGTATACTAGTACAGAAACTATTCATGCACCTAAATACCTAGAAAATTTGAAAGCAATGTATGTTGTAAGAATAATATTAGCCATGCTAGTTACAAATACAAACACATTATGACATTTACATGCAAAGTGTTATGCAATCTATACGAGATTGGTGGATGATCTCTATCTCAGTAGGATTGTTGGAGACTCAATTGCTACCTAGAAAAAGAATAAGGACAAAAAGGTGAGCTAAAGCTCAGTAAGTGGAAGCGATTTATAGGGAAATAATGCTGATGAAACTCTTAACATATGATGAATAATAGACTATAATTGATGAGACTGTCATGAATACATTGAGAAATAAATAACTTGATATACTAAATAACTTGATATAATCCATGGTAATAGATCTTTTCAAACATCACCTTTAAAACATCATCATGGCTAGGAAAACTCGTCACTAAATTTATAGCAGAGCATACAGATTATATATGCATAGGCTTTAATACTCCTACACATGGCAGATAAACAGGTCATACTATGCATCAAGATGCATGACAGAGCAAAACTGGTCATAATATACATCGAACAACCTCAAGATGTATAGTAGGGTAAAATTGGTCATACTATACATCACGCAACCTCAAGATGTATAGTAGAGCAAAACTGGTTGATGTATCGAGCAAGCTCAATACATGTAGCAGTGGAATATTGGTCATACCTATGTATCGAGTAACATCAAGGATATATAGCAGAAAAAACTGGTCCTACTATATATCGAGTAAACTTTAGATACATGATAAAGCAAAGCTGGTCAACTATACGCGTATGTGTATTTAACAATCATCATGGATAAAAGATGTACTAGTTTGAAATAGTTTCTAGAATAGCTTTAATATTTTTCAAACCACAACAAATCATAATTATTTAAATCAAAGTATTTTAATCTTTAAATATTAATGATTCAATATTCTACTATATTAGTTAGCATCCCAATTACCATACTTTGAATGAAACAAAGGTTGAGACTCATCTTTTAGCAAAAATCATAATTTGATGATCCTAAGACATTTTTAAATTACCAAGTCATATTAACTTAGCAATCTCATATCATAGCCACCAATCGTTACAAATGATTTTAAATCTCAATTCAACAAAAATTAAACCTTAACAACCACCAATCACTTCAATTTCGCAAAACTTAAATTTATCGTAGGCAAGACTTTTACCAAATAAGCTATATCAAGATTCTAAAATAAATTTAACTTTTCATAAACACAAATAATAATGTAGCATGTCACTGTAATAAAAATTCATACATAAATATATATTGCTTAACATTTCTCAACGTAAGATCGAAATCAATTTAATAATCACAAATCACTTACGATATAAGCATAAATTTCTTTGAATATCCCATGATTCTCAATAACTAAATCATTAATATGATTTCTTTGAATATCCCATGATTCTCAATAACTAAATCATTAATATGAATCAACTCAAAATTCCAATATGGAAGTTCAACGATTACTGCAACTATAAACGTACTTTATAAAATGACCCTGCACAGGATTGTTGACACGAAAATTTTAATTGATAATTAGCTCGGTCCACTTGACCAAGTTTGGTATCTGTCTATAAGCCTCCTTGAATCTTCTTCGGCATTGCCCATAGCTTTTCCAATGACTTTTCGACTTTATTGCCCCTCTCTGTTCTCATCTCTCTCATTTTCTCTTCTTCTTCTTATTTTCTTTCTTCCTTCTCGTTTTTTTTTCCTTCTTTTTTCTTCCTCTACCTTACCCATGTTATTTTATTTATTTATTCTTATTTTTTTATTGTCTCCAAAACTACTTTTTAAAAGTGTATATATATAATATTTCAAGTGATTACCAGTTGTTAACCACACTTTCAATTTTTTGTTATTATTATTATTTTATTTGATCTTTTAAGCAAAGGATATGGATTTGACCATTGTTTCTAAAGTTCATAATGTTGGTTCAAAAAGTATTTTTAAAATGTTTATAAATATGTTTTCAAAAGTTTGAAACTTTTGAAAGGATCGATGCAATTTTTGAACCAGTGACAAAGTTCAGAAGTATTTTGTTTATACCCTAAATAAAATTGAATTCTATCTGGAAAGGGCCGTTGAGAATATATGCCTTTCAACCATAATGGTCCTTTAAATGAAATATTTTCACATCATCAAAAAAACAAAAATAACAATAAAAATTATTTTCACTTGATCGAGCATTATTTTATTTTATTTTCAATTTATACTTAAAAGGTCAACACATCAAGACACATATTCTTAATAATTTCTTTTATTTGATAAATATAATTGATGACAAAACAATAATAAACATCACAATCATTACAATATTTTAAAAGTTTGGAGACTAAAATAGAATAAATAGGAAAGGTGTCATCTGTATTACGTAAGAAGAGGTACAGCTAGTAAAGAATGAGCCTTCTTCACAGTAATACCAAATTTGTCATCCATGTTCAAATTTTGTGGTGTGGTTCCATCTTCAAGCTTCCAATCAAACCAATGAACCAGCGAACCCACCATCAAATGCATCACCCTCACCGCCAATGGTTGACCAGGGCAAATTCTCCGACCACCGCCGAACGGAATAAACTCAAAATTCCGACCTTTAGCGTGAGCTGAACCCGAACCCAAGAACCTCTCCGGCCTAAATGAATTTGGATTTTCCCAAACATTTGGGTCTCTGCCTAAAGCCCAAGTATTGACCATTATTTGAGTGCCCTTTGGAATTGTGAAGCCTCCAATGGTTAATTCTTCTTCGGCTCGACGAGGAAGTAGAAGTGAAGATTGCAATCGCATGGTTTCTTTGACGATTGCTTGTAGATATGGAAGTTTGTCGATGTCTGACTCTTCCATCGGATTTCCTTTCCCAATCACTCGTTGGAGCTCTTCTTTGGCTTTTGACATACTTTTTGGATCTTTTAAAAGATATGTCATTGTCCATTGAACCATTGCCGTAGTTGTATCAATTCCCGCTATAAATAAAACCTAAAATCATCACCAACTAAAATCCGTCAATGCAAATCACCCAATCTTGTTCTGACCCTCATTGAAAAGTTGTTTCTTTTCCTTCATTTTTTTTTTCTATTTGACATATCTCTCAAACAAATTTTTTTTCCTTTCTCTCTAAATTTTTGTCTCTAATAAATTTCTCTCAAATGATCTCTCACTTTTATTTCTCCTTTTCTTAACATGCCTATGCGGAGGAATTAAAACTTCTATATTCTTAAAAATGGTTTGTAAATTGTAACATAAATAACTTTATTTGTTTTCCTTTTTCAAAATTGAGCTAAGAAGTCAACGTAGTTATAAGAAGATCAAAACCTATATAATTCTTAAAAACAGAGAATTTGAAACAAAATCATTATCAATGAGTGCCCTAGCCCCTAAGTCGTATTATTGTTTCCATTTTTAGACTGAAAAATAGTTTATTTTCAGTTTCAACAAACAAAAAAGGGAAAAGGGAAAATGACTGACCAATATTGAATGTTTGATTTGACTTCTATCAAGAGAAATCTCCCCGTTGTGCTCCCCCATGTTGAGAAGATGATGTAGCACATCATTTTTTGGTGCGAAATCAGGCGATTCCCGCATGATTCCCAGCCGTCGATCAATCATCTTGTCGATCAAATCTAACATCTTTCTCAAATGAACGGCGTTGCGCCTCCTTACACCTTCGATATCCATCATCTTCAGCACAGGGAAAAAGTCGCTGATATTGGGTTTCCCAGATTCTTCCAACACTCCCCTCAAAGTCTCCTTAAATTCTTTCGCCATTTCAGAATTCGGGTCCGCCAAATCCACCGACCAAATGGAGTTCGACATCATATTAAGCGTCGTCGCAAACACAGCTCCTCCTATGTCCACCGCCGCGCCGCTCACGGCGCTTTGCCGGATATTTGCCAGAAGGTCCTCCAGCTTGGCGCGGCGCAGGATCTCATTGGCGTCGAGAATGTTGGGGGCAAAAAGGCGGGTGTTGTAAATTCTTCGAATGTTTCTCCAAATGGGCGAGACCGGAATCCAGGGCAGAGCGAGTTGGTGGTGGTCGAAAACCGCGGCGGCGTCCGGAACGGCTCTTGAAGACGTGATGTGGTCGTGGGTTTGAAGGACGTGCCGGATCATCTCCGGCGAGGACACGACGACGGCGGTAACTTGGCCGAGTTTCAAGGACATGATTGGGCCGTGGGCGTTGGCGAGGCGGGCCAGGGACTTGTGGGGCTTGTCTCCGAGATCCAACAAGTTTCCGATGATCGGAAGCCGCCTTGGGCCCGGTGGAAGCTTTGGGTTTCTTCTTCTTCTTGTTGAAATAAGTATGACACTGAAGATTAGGCAAAGCATGCAACTGGGGATCATCCAAATCTCCATCTCTCTCGGTTACAATCGGATGAATTCAACAAATTTGGGATTTTGGATGTAATTGGGATTGGGAAGTTGGAGGGGTGGATATGTATTCAATTTATGGAAGTTTAGCTAAGATTTGAGGTTGGTAACTATCTTGACGAGGAATTGGAATAAATTAATTATAAATGGCAGTAATATTCTTAGTTCCATCTCGAAATTAATTGGATAATGAGAGGAGTAGTCCATATCTATTATAAACTTTTGTTCGGCTCTTTTGACTCATCGATCTTGGTTGGATCTCATTTTTGTATCGGATGTTCGTTTGGGTGTTTTGGACTCTATTACTATATGATTCATGAGATTCCATTTTAAGAAAAAGATGGATAATCTATGTTTATTATAAATTTTTATTAGATTTTTTATCTTTTTACGGGATCCTTAATAAATGGAAACCATTGAACTAATGGAAGGCGACAAGAGCACAGTAGTCATATTTTTTTTTCCCGAGCTGAAATAAGTGGTAGATCTTGATGTTGATTTGGGGTAATTTCAAGATTTTGTTTTTGTCGTTTTTCTACTATCCTTTTAACGAGTCAATAGTGTGAGAGTAGTTGGAGAGTTTGTAATAGTCTTAGAGCAGTTGGAGAGTTGTTAACAAGTGTTTAGAATTAGAGAGAGGGCTCTGTATAAAAAAAACACCACTTATACAATCATTACAGTTCTTAATTTTTTATGTAATAAATCAAAAGAGTTCTACTCTATTCTTGAATATTTTGTTTGGAGCATATGAGTAATTAGGAATTCATTGCACAACTTACTACTCGCAATCTCTGGAAGGATTTATGTACCTCACGTAGAGTGGAGTGATAAATAAGTTAGAGTGTGTTTGGAAATTGTTTGGAGAAGGGAATACCCTGGACACGTGGAGGACCCCTATTGGTGCTCCAAGATGGCTCATGAGTCATGCCCAGTTCGGATAGCCGAGGTGGCCGCCACTAACGTCGACAAATGCTAAGTATGAGGG